GTACCGGTCCTGCCCATGCAGCGCGTTTCAAACGTACTGCACGAGCACAAGCAGGAGACCACCAAGGCACGCATTTCTGAGAATGCTGCCCGAAGTTTGGGGTTTTAGAATGAGAAGCTGCGGTGAAAACGGAGGACGAAAAAGAGGTGTAAAGCTCATCGATGGAGGACGAAGAAGGAACCTTTAAAAACAGTCAGGTGTGAGTAAAGGTTTTCCCAATTTGCCGATTAAATTGCCAGCGTGGGGTGCGAAGAGGTGGCGAATATGAAGGGGAAGTAAGAATGATTGGGAATGATCACTGTCATGTAAGTCGGGAGAACAGACCAAGTAAAGTCTAATGCGGCGGAGGGAAAAGCAAACTGAGAGATCGATTTCAAGAGAGAGTATGAGTCCGAGGATCAAAAAAGGGTGTGAGTACCTGTATTTAAAACTGGAGGGGGTGGGTGGCAAGAAAAGCCTCTAACTGAATTTTCCCCGGGAAAAACAAGTGAGCCCTCCAGAGGAAATGGTGGGGATTTAAAATCACCAAGTAACAGAATCGGTGGCGGTAATGACGAAACAAGGAAGGGGAAATCCGGAATAGATAATGCCCGAGAAGGAGAGAGATATAAAGAACAGAGGTATACCACCTATGTAAGTGGATACGGGCTGCTGTGTAATGCAGCGAAGTAGAACAAATAGCTGATGGTACGGAATATCAGTGCGGAGAAAGAAGGGCACTTTCATTAAAGGTCCCATCAGGAAAAGGATCTGAAGAATACAATAAAAATTTTAGCCTGAGATGTGAGAAATAACAGCAGAGTGTAATTTTGGTTCCTGTAAGCAAACACCAAGGGGCAACTGGGAGAGAACATCTGAAGCTACCCGATTACCCTGAGGCCCCGGGATATTCCTGTAAAAAGGCCATGATTGCAATATAAAAGATATTTAAATCCGCAGGTAAGGGTTCCTACGGACTAGAAGGGTTAGAAAAATCCACATGCGGGAGGCAGTGGAAAATGTTCAAGCAGCGAAGGAACGGTGCGCTGTGAGAAAGGAGTTGCGCAGAGGAGCAGAGGAGAGAGGGAAGAGGGAGGTGGATCAGTGTCCATTGATGGGGCTTGTAAGAAGAGACTCGAAGAAGCGAGGTTTGAATGAGGCGTTGAAGTAGGGACGTCTGAGCCTGAGGACGACTAAAGCATTAGAGATACAGGAGTGATTATGGAGAGGTAACCTCAGAGGGTTATGTGGGTGTAGAAGATGGCGAGTACCAGAATTGGGGGACGTTTTGAAACACGGGAAATAGAACTAGTGGGAGTCTCCCTTGGAGGGCGGAGATGAGAACATGCCATGGCATAGGGAGACCTTCTGTCTCGTTGAGGGGTACGGATTTCCCGCTAGTTTAATAGACCTGACAACGGCGAGAGTAAGTACGAAGGGTGAGCCTCGCCTTGACCAGTTAAGGCAAGAGGGGGAGATGAGTGCCAAGACGTATTAGAATGGTCATCGGCACCACAGACTGGGCATCTCGGCGATAGATCTGCAATATTTCGCTGGATGCCAAATCGCCAGCAATTTCTACCCTGTTGTGGGTGTAGGGATACATTTCGAACTTGTTAACGATGTGTCCTGCTATTTATACGGACGGATGTGAGTTTTCTCGGGCTGTCAAAAGTTAAACGAAGCAACCATTGCTAGGAGTTATCGTTCTCCCCGCCCACGGGAGAACGATCGTAAGTGTCTACCTTGAGGCTTGGGAGATCTTGGAGTTCCAACTGTTCTAGAATGTCGGTGCACATGTCTGGAAATTTTGTTGAACTATGGTATGGGGCAGAAATAACGGTACACTACAAGAATTGAGGGAATGATGTTTTCAAGGGTGACAGGAACCAGTTTCTATATGGGAAGACGAGAGAGCTCAACGAGCATGCGGTAGCATTCTGTACGGTAATGATGCGCCGTACCGGCTTTAAGAGCATGGAAAAGAAATATCATTTACCAACATGGGTAGGAGTTGCTTGCAATACTATGGTCGAAAGATAGGCAGTAGAGGATGTGGTCGTAAAGCCCCGAAGATTTAGTCCATGTTCAGTCTGAAACTGTGCGTGGAAATGGTGTGAAGGACGTGATCGATCGTTTCTGAGAAGAACGAGAGGTGAAGGTGGAGAAGGATCATCAGCAGGTAATTGTCGTTGACGTTAGGCGTAGGGTACCAGAGTTGGTCGACTGTGGAAGGGTTCGCGATTTGAAAATTGCCGCACCGTAGAGGGACGAGGCCGGAGCATTGTCAGAGGACCGAGCGAGGTCTGATAAATCGAAAGGAGGTCAGTACGTGGCCTCAGTAACCTGAAGCGGCGTGAGGAAAACAGAACCGGCAATAGGTAAGAGGCAGAGAGGAATGTCTGAAGAGTGGTCCAAAAGACGAGGCGGGGTCAGAACGGCGGTGCAAGGTATCAAGAAGGGGCCGAGGGGGTACAGGTTCATGGACTGGGCTGCCATGGTTAGGGTACTTCTTTATTTTTGTTTTTTAAGAAAAAAAATAAGAAGAAGAAAAGATATAAAAATAAAAAAAAGAAAAAAAAAGGGGGACCGGAGGAGGGATAGTTACAGGAGGAATGATAGGCCAGAAATTCCCTCCGGCCCAAGAGACTCACGACACGCTAGTTGCGCTAGATGCAGCATGGTACCGAGCTGCCATACCCTACCCTTCATGCAGTAAACCAGCAATATGGGGATAGCAAACTCAATATACCACGGAGCTACATCGGCGTGGCAAAAGAGAGGGCGGCCGGATATCCGCCACAAAGCATACCTCCTTCAGCACCACCCCCGGAATCAGAAAGGTGGCTTCCCAGTGCTTCACCCGTCGCCAAAAAACACCCATAGCTATTCGGGATACACGGGGGGATCGGGACATCCCTAGGGGCAATCCAGATTCCACGGCAAACTACGCCACCGCAAGAAAAACCTCTGACGGAAGGAATGGATGGACCCCGGTTGGTCCTTTCTCCCTACCTAGGAACTAGCGCGCCTGTGGGAGAAATACAAAGTCAAAAAGAGGAAGGGCAAAAAGGGAGGAATAAAGTGGGGAGGAGGAGGAGGAAAGGAAAAAAAGGGGTGGATGGGGAGGTTGGGATAGGGGAGGGGAGATTGGGGGGTAATTAGGTTCGGTCTGAGGAAGAAGACCGATAGGTCTAATTCCTCAGACCAAGAGCCTCTTCACCACGCCATGGAGCACCCTTGAAGTGGATCATGGTATGAACATTCGCTGTCTCCAGCGGTCATGTTACTGTGATTGTTATAATTTCATGGTCTGTACATTCTTGTTCAGGGGATCATGTTACTGTGATGTTATACTATCATGGTCTGTACATTCTTGTTCCAGGGGATCATGTTACTGTGATGTTATACTATCATGGTCTGTACATTCTTGTTCCAGGGGATCATGTTACTGTGATGTTATACTATCATGGTCTGTACATTCTTGTTCCAGGGTATCATGTTACTGTGATGTTATACTATAATGGTCTGTACATTCTTGTTCCAGGGGATACATGATCATGTATTAGTGATGTTTATACTATCATGGTCCTGAACATTCTTATTCCAGGGGATCTATGTTACTGTGATGTTATAATATCTGGTCTGTACATTCTTATTCCAGGGGATCATGTTACTGTGATGTTATACTATCATGGTCTGTACATTCTTGTAAGTATGTGATGTCATACTCACAAAAAATTATATTTTCTGAAGATGGCTTTCCACATCTAAAATCTGGAAAATCAACCTGTATCATTCAGATTAAACAACCATATAATGTTAACTTTGATACTTAGTCAAGTTCTTTATCTTCTGTTAAATAGTAAAATATCTAAGGTACCATTAAGATATCTAAATCTATTGTTTAATTCAGAGATGAACTGGATTTGGAAAGTTCTCAAATTGTTATTAGTTTGTGACTATAATAGTCCAGGACCGATCATTATTAGTAAATATTATATTCCAGGACCTATCATTTTAAGTGACAGTAATATTGCAGAACCGACCAATATTAGTTACTATAATGGTCCGGGACCTATCATTATTTGTAATTATGGTAGCCCAGGACCAATCATTATTAGTAACTGTAATAGTCCAGGACCGTTTATTATTAGTGATTATAATAGTCCAAGGCCGATCATTATTAATGATTTAATAGTTCAAGACCAATCATTATTACTGACTGTATAGTAGTCCAGGACCGTCATTATCTGATTTTAACTATAATAATCCAGGAAGGATATTCTCAACTGATGACTATAATAATCCAGAATTGATCTTTATCAGTGTATTGACTTAATAAACCCAGGATGATTAAATTATTCATATGATGACCTATAAGAATACTGAATGATATTATCAGTGTTAATGACTTTAATAACCCAGGATGATAATTATCATATGATGGGTCTTTAATATCCAGAATTTATCATTATCAGTGTATGACTTTATAACCAAGGATGATAATTATCATATTGATGACTATAATAATCAGACGGATCATTATCATTTTATAACAATAATAATCTATGATGGAATCATTATCAGTTTATGACTATAATAATTCAGAATGGATCGAAAAGTGGCTGAGTCCTTATTTACACGTATTTGTTATATATTTTTGTTAGGTATATAGGACAGGACAATGGTTATAATGACCATAATTTTTAAAGGGGTGGACGGTAAGCACAGCGGAAAAGGCCTCGGTCAGGTGACCAAAGCTCCAAAGGCGGGTCATCATCTCTGACCTAAAGACCCGCCGTCAGGAAACATTTGTCTGGTTCCTGACGAACCTTACCTAACCTAATTATGTAATATTTTATTGTTATATATTTCATCAACGGATTTTGTGACATTTTGTTCTTCTGTTAAAGATTTGTGTGTTTCTAATTTAGTGTCCTGAAACTGACCTGACCAGACAATGTTATGTCTACAGCTGCGAAAAAATGTTGGAGTGACATGTTGCTGGTTGACATCACTGTTCTGGTAGATGCAACATGTGGGATACATATAAAATCAATTTACATTAAATTCAGTCTTTTTCTTTATTTGTGGGGAAAACTGGCTATTTATGGAAAATATATAAATGTTTTTCTTTTTCGGGCCACACTGCCTTGGTGGGATCGGCCAGTGTGTTAATAAAAAAATTAATAAAAATTAAATGTCTGACGGTGTTGAAGTCTCTATTTCACTTATTGCCAAACTCTCTCATATCTTCTCCCTCAAAAATTCTATTTGATTCCATTATATTTTTATGTTTTAAATAAAATACACTCGTAGGAAAATATATGCCAAAATAAAGAATTTTTTTAGTTAATCCATTATCTCATAATAGAGCTTACTATTGGTTACTAATCGTTTTTTTTATACTTCCCTGGATATCTTTGAATTTTATCATAAAAATTAATATACATGTCCTTCGCGTGTGTTAATTTAATCTTGTTTCTGCTTTCAATTACAAATGTGACTGGCGTGACCTTAGGATTGAAGTGTATATCGAATATGAGTTAAGTAAACTGGAGTTGCCAATTTTAAATGATGACCAAAGAAAAGGATCTAGAGACATATCAAGTGTTGTCGTTAAACAGAATAAACGAGTGTTTGGAACTCTCCAGTCATAGGAAGACAACATACCAGCGTAACTCTATTGTACTGAAAAGTTTATCTTTATCTGTATAAACGCTTTTCACCTCTTATAATATATATGCTGAGAGAAGAGAATAACATCTCGATATTTATATCAACTGAAATATGTTTACACATCTCAGGAGTATATATACACTTACTGTATGTATGCAAGTTGTCTCTATCTCTCTCTTCTCTATCTCTCTCTCTCTCTCTTATTTTCTTTCTCTCTCTCTCGTCTTTTCTCTCTCTCTCTTATTTACACTGGGTTTTAATCAAGGTTTAGGTTTAAGGCATACCTTAGATTTATTGACAGCTTTTTACTGGTTAAGGACTCTCTCACTCTTCTAGCTATCTTTCTCTCTCTCTTTCTCTCTCTCTCTCTCTCTCTCTGTATATATTTATATTTATATATAGATATACTATATATTTATATATATACTATATATCATATATATATATATACTATATTATATATATATTATTTATATACAGTGTGAATAGGTAAAATTTGGTCAATAGCAAGAGAACTCATTAAAATTAAGTTCTTTTTAAAATTTTCTTTATACTGTTTCAAGACTCACATATATTTTTTTTTCGTTTACGTTAGTGTTAAGTTAATAATTTTGCCCCACACTGCTATAACTGGGTAAAAGACACTTAAAGTAAAGACTAGAAACAATATTAACAGAAAACGTTTCGGTCATGGGCCCTTGATCATTTAAAATCAGAATGGATCAAGGCCAGGGGACCGAAAAGTTTTTTAATATATCTTAGTGTTTGCCCAAGTATCTTTTTAAACCACTATTACTAGTACTATTTACAAAATTTCTAAAGAGTAACATTACCAGTCGCATTTTAGCGTGAATAACGCTAGTAAAATTTGTTCATTTTATTTCTCAATAGTTCTCTTAAAAACTAGACTAACTACATATAAATACTAACAATCAAAAGAATGTTGAAAATTCAGGAAAATAAAATCACAAAACATTTATTGTGAAGAAGAAAGTCTGAGACTTTTTACAGCTAGCATAAAAATTATCTCTCAAAAAAATTAGAGTAAACATGAAAAATAAAGACAGATTACGACTTTTACATTTCTCAGCACATTCTGAAGCACTCAAGTTCCTTTGACAATAATAAGTTATAATAGTGGAACCCCGCATAACAATCACCTCTGAATGCGACCAATTATGTAAGTGTAGTTATGTAAGTGCGTTTGTACGTGTATGTTTGGGGGTCGAATGAACTAACCCCCCTTTCTACTTCTCACTATTCCTTTTGGGAACAAATTCGGTCAGTACTGGCACCTGAACATACTTCTGGAGTGAAAAAATATCGTTAACCGGGGGTCCACTATTAAATAAAACTCTGAATCTGAGTTAAAAGATTTAATTTTGCCATTTTTCTCCAGGTGGTCAAGGTTCGTGTCCGAGAATATTACAAGAATGTATTCAACATCCTCCTCAGTTGCCGGTAAAGTATTTTGACCATAACCTACCCTACGGGTTTACCATCTTTAAAATAATGAAATTAATGATAATAGCAATTATAAAATAGTAACTGTAATTAAATATAATAATAATAATGATAATAATAATAATAATAATAATAATAATAATAATAATAATAATAACAATAATAATAATAATAATAACAATAATAATGAATTATTATTTTATACCATAAGAATGTAAGTGGAAATATTTTCTATTCATTAGTTAGGTTGTTCATGCATGCATATAGTGCATCCTCGTACATATACTAACATTAACATGTCTCTCTCACAGAGGTGTTACAACGACTGTCAATGTCCATCACAATACAAGTGTTGCGCTGACTGTCAGTACGGCTGGACCTGCAAACCTGTACTACAACCTCCTGCAACACAATACTAGAACATTAATGTGATGTCTGGAGTGTTTAACACACTACACAATATTCCTACTATTGAATTTATTTTATTATAAGATGGATCTAGATATTAGCAAATATATATTTATATTTAACAATGATAATTTCACTTCATATATTTTGTGAGTCTTTGAGTATTTAGGATTCATAAATTATTGAGTGAGTTGAAGTATGTGACAATCGTTATGTAAAGTAGGGAGAGGCAAGCATGCTGTTGGTGCAAGCTGGAGGCTTTTTGACCTAATGTGAAGAGGGATCTGGTGTATACTTAGGCCCAATAAAGAAATCACAATTACTGAACGTGGTATGACCATAATTCAAGTTTAGGAAAGGTAAGAGAAAGGAAAGTGAAGAATTTGAGAGGACGAAGCGAACACTGCAGCTCTGCACCTCCTCAGTAGTTAGTGAGAAAAACGTTTAACTTATTCAATTAAGATTATTTTGGGAGACTTTTCGTTCCACTTTAGTATGTCATTATAACACATAGCTGTAAGTCTGGTTTCTTTAAAAGAAATATTATGCAACACTGTTAAAAAAAACATACACGGGCTTTGGGTTAGACCCACGGTCTGAGAGTCTCAAAACTCCAGACCATCGCGTTAGCCACTGGACCAGCTAGCCACAATAAGATTCATCCAACTAGGTATATTTATACACCGTGACTACTGTTAGGGAGGCTGGAGTGGGAATAACACCACCATGGCTACTGTCAGGGAGGCTGGAGTGGGAATAACACCATCGTGGCTACTGTCAGGGAGGCTGGAGTGGGAATAACACCACCGTGCTACTGTCTGGGGGGCTAGAATGGAATAACACACCGTGGCTTACTGTCAGGGAGGCTGGAGCGTGGGATTTACACCACCGTGGCTACTGTCAGGGAGGCTGGTAATGTGGGAATACACCACCGTGGATACTGTCAGGGAGGCTTAGAATGGGAATAACACCCACCGTGGCTACTGCTGTGGCTGGAATGGGAATAACACCACCGTGGCTACTGGTCAGGGAGGCTGGAGTGGGAATAACACCACCGTGGCTACTGTCAGGGAGGCTGGAGTGGGAATAACACCACCGTGGCTACTGTCAGGGAGGCCTAGAATGGGGAATAACACCACCGTGGCTCTGTCAGGGAGGCGTGGAAGGGATAACACCACCGTTAGGCTACTGTCAGGAGGCTGGAATGGGAATAAACACCACCGTGGTACTGTCAGGGGAGGCTAGAATGGGAATAACACCATCGTGGGCTTCTGTCTGAAGGCTGGAATGGGAATAACACCACCGTGGCTACTGTCAGGGAGGCTGGAATGGGAAGAACACCACCGTGGCTACTGTCTGGAGGCTAGAATGGGAATACACCACCGTGGCTACTGTCAGGGAGGCTGGAATGGGCAATAACACCACCGTGGCTACTGTCAGGGAGGCTGGAATGGCGAATAAAACCACCGTGGCTACTCTCAGGAGGGTTAGAATGGGATAACACTCCAGTGGTATGTCAGGGAGGCTGGAATGGGAATAACACCACCGTGGGCATACTGTTCAGGGAGATTGGAGTGGGAAAATAACATCACCGTGGCTGCTGCTAGGAGGCTGGAGTGGGAATAACACCACGTGGCTACTGTCAGGGAGGCTGGAGTGGGAAATAACACCACGTGGCTTACTGTCTGGGAGGCTGGAGTGGGAATACACCACCGTGGCTTATGTCGGGTGGCTGGAGAAAGTGGGCATAACTCCACCGTGGCTACTGTCAGGGAGGCTGGATTGAGTGGGAATAACACCACGTGGCTACTGTCAGGGAGCTGGAGTGGGAATAACACACCGTGGCTACTGCCAGGGATCGGATGGAGTGGGAATGACAACCACAGTGGCTACTGTCAGGAGCTGAAGAAGTGGGATTAACACCACGTGACTACTGTCAGAGAGGCCTGGAGTGGGATTAAACTCAAAGTGGGCTACTGTAAGGGAGGCTGGAGGGGAATAAACACCGTGGCTACTGTCTTGGAGGATGGTGTGCGGAAATTAACGCCACAGTGACTACTGTCAAGGGGCCTGGAGTGGGAATTTACACACAGTGGCTACTGTCAGGGAGGCTGGACTTTTCTGGAGAGAGTTTCGGGGGTCAACGCCCCCGCGGCCCGGTCTGTGACCAGGCTCTGGTGGATCGGCCTGATAAACCAGGCTGTTGTGCTGGCTGCCACGCAAAAACCAAACGTACGAGGCAGCCCGGGCTGATCAGGAACTGCTTTAGGTGCTTGTCCAGTGCCAGCTTGAAGACTGCCAGGGGTCTGTGGTATCCCCCTTAGTGTGCGGGGAGGCAGTTGAATCAGTCTCGGTCCCGGTCAACTTATTGTTGTCTCTTACGTGCTAGTGACACCTGCTTTTCATTGGCGGGGATGGTGCATCGTTGGCCAAGTCTTTTGCTTCGTAGAGTGAGTGATTGTGATGTGCAAGTTTTCGGTACACTAGTCCCTCTAGGATTTTCAAGGTCGTATATAATCTTGAATCTTCCCTCCTGCGTTCAAGGGTAGACAGGTTTAGAAACCTCAAGCGCTAACGTTGAATATTGGAGGTGTTTTATCTCCGTTATGCCGCGTGAAAGTTCTCTGTCATTTTTAAGGTCGACAATTTCACATGCTTGGGAAAGGTGCTGATTAGAGTGTAGCGATATCCTGCCTAGATTAGAACATGTGGACCCTGTAAGGGTGTCATCAGGGGCTGTGGCTCTCCCTGTTTTGAAGGTTCTATTATCCATCCTGTCATTTTTCTAGCAGATGCGATTGATACATATGTTATGGTCCTTGAAGGTAAGATCTCGACATAATCACTCCCAGCTGTGACGTGGTGTTTCGCTTATTTGTGGCCAGAATTTGTTTTGTTACTCTGATGAAGATTTAATTTCCTCATGTTTACAATATATCTGAGTAATTGAATATTTCAATCGTTGAAAATTTTCATTATTGTTTTCTGCAAGCCCACTGAAAGATTTGTTGATGTCCCGCCTGAGCCTTGCAGGTCTGCATTGGAAGACTTGTCATGCAGATTCGGGTGTCATCTGCAAAGGAAGACACGGTGTGCTGTGGCTGACATCCTTGTCTATGTCGGGCTCATATGACGGATGAGGTGGAACAAGATGGAGCTAGTAGTACTTGCTGGACTCTGTGGAACAGTAGCTGATTCACCGTAGCTGCCTCGGACTTTACTCTGTGACGATATATCTGGGAGGAGGAATTATACCACCTTGGCTACTGTCAGGGAGACATGGAGAGGAATTACACACCGTGGCTATGTCTGGGAGGCTAGGTGGGAATAATCTACACCGTGATTGGTTTACTGTCAGGGTAAGAATGGAGTGGGAATTAACACACCGTGGCTACTGTCAGGGGAGGGCTAGGTGGGATAACTCCCACTCAGTGGTTACTGTCAGGGAGACTGGAGTGGGGAATAAACACCACGTGGCTATGTCAGGGGAGGCTGGAGTGGGTATAAACACCACGTGATTACGTCAGGGAAGCTGGAGTGGGTTATCTCCCACCGTGACTACTGTCAGGGCGAGGATGGGAGTGGGTATAACACAGTGACTCCTGTCTGGGAGGCTGGAATGGGATAACACCACCGTGACTACTGTCAGGGAGGCTGGAGTGGGAATAACACCACCGTGACTACTGTCAGGGGGCGAATGGAGAATAACACCACCGTGACTACTGTCAGGGGAGGCTGTAGAGTGGGAATAACACCACCGTGACTACTGTCTGGGAGGTGGAGTGGGTTTACACCAATCTTCGCCACTATCATGCACATGCATCATCTTCTCACCTCTTCATGGCACATGCATATCTTCGCCACTCTCATGACATGCATCATCTTCACCACTATCATGCACATACATCATCTTCACCACTCTCATGCACTTGCATCATCTTCACCAACTCTCATGCAACTTGCATTTCTTCACCACTATCATGCACTTGATCAATCTTCCACCCCACCTCTATGCACATGCTTCCTATCTCACCACTTTCTGCACATGCTTATCTTCACCACTCTCATGCACATGCTAGTCTTCACACTATCATGCACATGCATCCATCTTCCCATCTCTGCACATGCCATCATCTTCACACTCTCATGTACTCAGCATCCATCTACCACTCTCATGCACTTGCATCTTCTTCACCTTATCATGCACATGCATCATCTTCACCACACTCTCATCGCCACATGCTTCATCTTCACCATCATGCCTTGCATCATTCTTCACCATCTATCATGCTCATGGCATCATCTTCACCACTCTCATGACATTGCATCATCTTCACCACTCTCATGCAACTTGCATCATCTTCACACCACTTTCATGCACATGATTCTCTTAACCACTATCTTGCACACTTGCATCATCTTCATACTCATCATGCACTTGCATCATATTCACCACTATCATGCACTTGCATCATATTCACCACTCTCATGCAATTGCTTCATCTTCAACACTCTCATGCACTTGCTTCAACTTCACCACTATCATGCACTTGCATCATCTTCACCCACTCTCATGCACATGCATCATCTTCACCAACTCTCATGCACTTGCATCATTCTTCACCACTATCATGCACTTGCATCATCATTCACCCACTATCATTGCACTCTGCATCATCTTCACCACTATCATGCACTTGACATATCTTCACCTCTCTCATTGCACTTGGCATCATTTCACCACTCTCCATTGCCTTGCATCATCTTCACCACTATCATGCTACTAGCATCATCTTCACCACTATCATTGCACTTGCATCACTTCACCTACTATCATGCACTTGCATCATCTTTCACCCCTCCTCATGCACTTGCATCATCTTCACACTCATCTCATGCACTTGCAATCATCTTCACCACTATCATGGCACTTGCATCATCTTTCAACCACTATCTTGCTCATGCATCATCTTCACCACTCTCGTGCAATTGCATCATCTTCACACTATCATGACACTTGCATCATCTTCACCACTATCATGCCACTTGCTCAATCTTCACCACTATCATGCACTTGCAATCATCTTCTCCACACAATCCTTGCACTTGCATCATCATTCACTCACTCTCATGCACTATGCCATCGTCTTCACACTATCATGCATTGAATCATCTCACCACTCTCATGCACTTGCTTCATCTTACCACGCTATGGCACTTGCTTCATCTTCAAACACTATCATGCACTTGCTATATCTTTCACCACCATCTTAGCACTTGATATCTTCACCACTCTCTTGCAACTTGCATCACTCTTCACCCA